TTGTAGCCACCTAAACGGCATCATTAGTTGGGGGCACCAGAAAGGCTGTCCTGTGTGATGGGTTTGGAGTATAAATTGGTTGAATACTTAATAAAGCCTTTGGTTATAGACTGGAATTAGTGAATTCCAATCTGCAAAACCTGAACTAGGATACTACCCTCTTCACACCTTATGGTGCTATGAAATCCTGTTGCTTAGTGCAGCACGTCATGACTACCGTAGGCCCATTGACTCAATGGGGATTTGGTGAGGCAACTCCTCCATATATACTGCTTTTTAAAACAAGAATACTTAGGGTTATAAATCCCGCTGCTGCTGCCAAGACAGTGAGACATAACAAGGCACTAGCCTCAGCAACCACACTTTTTTGAAAGCAGAAGTCACTGCCTCAGCACTTCAATCAAATAACAGGCTAACAGTTTTCTGCATGATGTCTAATGAAGTGGACTTGTCCATGGAAGCTCACATTAAAGATCTATATAAAAGTCTTTAAAGTGCCACCACGTTTTTGTCTTTTTTTACTCTTTATTCTTATTTTTTTCATCTATAAGACTTCTGCATTAGTTAGCTACCTTACTTATCACAAAGATATTTATGCCAACCTCTCCTTTGAAAGATTCTGAACAGCAATTGTCATCTTTGTGATTCCATTTCACTTTTATCACACTCCCCAAACTGCAATCACTGAGTATCTACTGTATAAATCTTCAGCTTGGATATTGTTGCACATGCATTTAACAAAATGGATTGTAACCCATGAATCCTCATGTTAAATTTTGTTATTCTTAAACGTGCCATAAGATTCATGGTGTTGGTGGTTGGTCATAAAGAATCTTACAATTAAAAAACAAACCCAAACCTTGGAAGCCTATAGACCTTTATTTGTTGATGGCATGTAGCCACTTTCATCATTGGTTAAAGTGGGTACAGTTGATGGGAATTAGAGGCTGGAGGGTTGAATTTTCCTTTGCTGTATTTTAAATATACAGTATTCTTCTCCTTCAGCACATTTTCTTCGAACAAATTCCTTCTTCCCTGTCTTTGCTACAGCCTGCCTGTGCAACATTATAGATGCTTCCTTGCAGACCCATTTCTCTCTTAATTCTTTTTTTAAAAAGAAAGCAAACCACAAAAAGCTCACCTAATGTCCAGTGATCTTAGGCAGCTTTTCCTCTTGAGTGTGATTGAACGTGCGCTCAGCCCTTACTGCTGTGAAAAGACAAGGAAATCAGTCTGTTCTTTGACATTTGTCTGGATCTGATATGGAAATTAAATACAATTTGTGATATAAAATAGCCCCAGAAGTCACTCCAGAAGTGGGCTATACTTCTGTACCTACCCCTCTGTTTTCTTGAAATAGGATGGCACCACAGACAATTCAGGGAGCTGTGACTCTACCTGCATGCTAATTTGCAGGCTATCTGTACAAAGCCTCAAAAAGCAAGCACTTGTCTGTGCCCGTTTCCATGGTGCTGTCACGCTGTTCCTTCTCAACAGCTTCACTTATCAGCATTTTCCACCCGTCCTCTTCTGCATAATGTGCAGTTCATTCACCCGGAAAGTTCAACCATTGTAATGATGGCTTGGGGGAGGGAGAGGGAAGGAGAAAGCTCATCAGGGTGAAGAGGTGAGTTGTGTTCATGAAGGTGTGTGGGAACAGGGCTCTGTAACACAATGGGGAATTAGAAAACATGAACCCTCCCACATCCATGCTGTGCTTTTTGGAAAGAGAAGTATGCTTACACACACACACACATGCACACACACAGAGAGAGAGAGAGAGACAGAGAGATGATTAGGATATGTTTGTGCCAAAGCTGTGTAAGATGTGGCTGCTTTCAAACATATTCATTCCCAAATCATTCAATGGTATAAAAGAACAGTGTTACAACAGAAGAAGTCCATGTGTGAGAGATATAATTCTTTCTCCCCACCCCCGCCTCTCTGCATCAGTTAACATGCCATCCTTTCCCTCTGGCTGACTATAGCCCTGCTGCTTCCCTATCTAACTGGTTGTCTCTGTTAATTGGCTTCCATTTCTTTCTTCTCCCCAGGACAGCTTTCCTGCTCGCTTTGGAGGAGTCCATTTTGTGAATCAGCCTTGGTACATCCATGCCCTGTACACGCTCATCAAGCCCTTCCTCAAAGACAAGACAAGGAAAAGGGTAATTGGAGAATTAAATGAGCCTGCTCTGCGTGCCAGCCTACTTTGGCATGAGTAGATTTCTACTTTCTTTGCTTCCTCTCTCATTTATCTCTTTGAGGCTCACTATGCATAGCCCCCCAGAATGGCAGCACAGGCCAAAGCCCCTATTGGAGTTTGCCAACAGCCCACATCAAACCAATATTTTCGCAGGAGACAATTATTTTCAGAATCTCAGACAGGCACCAGAAAACCTTTCATCATGTACAAACAAAATACACTATTTTATAAGATAAACACATATGGATGAAAAGGACTTGGAACATTAACAGGGATAATACCGAGAAGGCCTGAGGGAAATCCCACACACATTTTTTCACATGCTTCTTTCCTTCCCACTCACAGAAATTGCAGTCTTAACACTTCCATTTCTCTTCTGCAGGAGACTTCCAGCAGAGATGGTGGTTTGGAATCACTGTTATTCACCCAAATATGTCAGACAAGCAGGACTCCATTGTGCTAAGAACCTGGGAAAATTGATTCCTACAATTATACTAGGAATGTATAATGCTATATATTATATTACCGTTATACCCAATTCAGTTTGGAAGACAGTTAGGGATTTTGGAATGGATCCAGAATCAGGGTGCAACTACACTGGAAAGACAAATTGGAGCAATTTGGTTTTGCCTCAACATGATTTGAAGCCTGTATTAATTTGAAATCATAGTCACTGATCACACAGAGGCTGCGGATTGATTTGGGAGTTCACTGTTCATATTGGATGTGATGTGATTCACATTCCAGCCTACAGTCCCCCCTACGTCCTTCCTCTGTTCATTCCTCTGTCAATTCTTTTGTAGGGCATAAATGGAGGCAATAATAATAATGAGGACACAGCAATAAGGTGATCGCATATACATCAGAATTTTGTTGTTGTTTTTTTTAAAATAGAGAGTGATTAAGGGAGAGGAAAGAATGTGAAGGCTCTGGTCCTGAACATCATGCCCCAACTATTTATGTTACCGAAGCACGGCCTACAGATGCACCCTCATCTTTACAAGAACACATCAAAACTACATAGGGAAAAGTGTATTTGGATCATTCCAGACTGAAAATATAGAAAACCCCCAGCAACAGAGACAAAAAAATAATTTTGGGAGCAAAAAGTGTCATGTGGTCTTTAAAAAATACTTCAAATTCACCCATTTTATAAGCAGAGCAAATGTTGTATTTGACCATATAGCCACAGCTTGCTATATTCTGAGTATTCTAAACCAGTGGAGTTTAATTTCCAAAAAGTATATAAGGGCATCCTTCACATGGAACATTTTGTTTACAGCTTAGTTTTATATTTTTTAAAAATGGAAGACCAAAGTTTTTTTTTATTTTTCCCCTCCCATCATGCCTATGGATTGCTCCAGGGGAAATCTAAAACCATTACATCACTGGCTAACAGCCTCAATTCCATATCTGCAGGTGGTTCGTTTTCCGGTCCATCCTAGGACACTATACAAACCTTGTAACTTCAAAATCCAGTTATGGATTTTAAAAAAATCTCTGGTCCCTTGGTCTGTGTTTCTGTTTTAGATTAAAAAACACATCTTGCCTTAGAAAATGCGATCTGAAGACCTTGAAAGCTTGTACACATTGTTGAGACCTTTCAGTTGACCTAATAAAGATATTACAGTATATTGATAGATATTTTGGAATAGTACCCAAAAGGTTTAGGAATAATTGTCATGTTGGAGAAATTGCTTTCCCTGCCATTTAATTAAGTAGCAGCTCCTGCTTCTGGCAGGAAGGTGCCTCATCCAAAAAGTCTGTGGGGAAGACAACCCCTCTGCTCAGACCATGGGCTGGCTGTGTGTAATGCTGTACATCTTTAGGAGATACTGTAATCTTCAATATTTGTAATGCTGCTAAAAATGTGAACAAATAAATTTACATTGCTCTTCATTGTCTTTTTTAAAATTAAGATCTTTCTTCATGGAAACAATCTGAATAGTCTTCACCAACTTATCCATCCTGACTGCCTGCCTTCAGAGTTTGGAGGGACACTTCCTCCTTATGACATGGGCACTTGGGCTCGGACATTACTTGGTCCAGACTACAGTGATGAAAATGACTACACTCACACTTCCTACAATACCATGCATGTGACGCATTCGTCTTCCAACCTGGAAAGAGAATGTTCACCAAAACTCATGAAAAGGTAAGAATATTGGACCAGTTATTTAAAACATGTATTTTCTTTGCTTGAAATAGCAATAGCAACTAACGATTAAGTAGAAAGTAAAGGTGTGTGTTGTCTTTTAGAGAGATTACTGTGTAGAAGTGAAAGAACAGCTTTGTACTAAAAGCAGTTATTTGCTGGTTGATGAGCAAAGCGAGGAGAAAGCAAAAAGGCCTCAGTAACATATAAATAGACAGGGGGAAGTATCACAGTGGAATGCATTTCCATGAGGCATCATAAAGACTTATTGCTACTCCAAGTGTCAACTAAGGACTGCTGATCAGAGATGGGGGTATTCGTATACAAATACGAATATCCCCGCACAGGTGAAAATAACGATGATTACTGTCCACTCACAATTTTCCCACTTCCAACAGCTCCGCAGAGCCTTCCTATCGTGCTATTCTCTGCAATGGATTAGCCACTCTGCTGCCTAGTAGAGAGGCTTGTCATCCCGCCTCCTGCCAGGAATAGGTAATCGATTGCGGACAATGGCACAATAGGAAGGCTCTGTGAAGCTGGCAACAGCAACAAAATCATGAGTGGACAGTCCGGCCCCATGGGGCTGAACCCTTGTTATTTCCTCCTGTACGGGGATATTCGTATTCATATATGAATATGAATGCCCCCATCTCTAGTGCTGATTTGGGTGCATGCTGGTCACACTTGTTACACTTAGGGAATAATTACTTCTGTCTAATAGAGGAAACCAAATAAATTCTAAAAGCATCACTGTTCTCTAGATTAAGGGTTAAATGATTGAATATTATATGTTATACCACTAGGCAAGGCTGGTATCTGTGCCAGGGCTCTATAAACAGCTGCCAGGGCTCAAGCACCTTGGCAGAGATCAATATGCTGCTTCATTGGCCCTCTTGCCAGCACATTTCCTGACTACAGATTCAGCTAGTGGTGCCAAGGGAAACCTTGGGAATCAACAAGCTTATCCAACCACAGTCCCCACATAAGTGTGTGGTTGTGGAGTGGGTGGGCTACCCAGTTCTATTTTTCCTTCCCAGCTGAATCCAAGGAAGCTTGTTTCGTTCTAAATTAGCAAATGTATTCGTGAAGGCTTTCACGGCCAGGATCTAATGGTTGTTGTGGGTTTTTCAGGCTGTTTGGCCGTGTTCTGAAGGTTGTTCTTCCTAACGTTTCGCCAGTCTCTGTGGCCGGCATCTTCAGAGGACAGCACTCTGTGTTCTTAAAAATGCTCATCAAGGTTAAAAACCCAAGACTCCCACCCTCCCCCAATGCCCTCTCTTTTCTCTTTCTGCTTCCCCCAATTATTTATTTTAGTCTTATCTCTTTCTCTCCAACCTAGTACTAATCAAGCTTATAACCAGCTTAATAGAACTGTCAAATGTCTATGATCAGGTTCTACTTAGATTTAATTATCATTGGACCCAGCTGGGGCTTTGGCCAAACAGGTATTGAAATCTAACCCACTCAGTTCTTTAGGTTAAGAAATCTGTAGTATCTTTTTGTTTCTAGCTGTTGGCTATCTCAGAAGTATCTGGCTGTGGAGCCAGAGACTAGGAGTTCAAATCCCCACTGTGCTTCCTTGACAGGGGCTGGACTCAATGAACCATAGGGTCTCTTCTAGCCCTGCAGTTCTAGGATTGTTATTATTTACACTTACTGTTTCAAAACACACACTTTTGCATGAATGCTAGAGATAGCCTGACTTAAAGAACAGGACTAATTTTACCTCCACATTGATTTCCCTAGATAATTCGCTTCAAGTAGTGCTTGATCATAGCCATAATTGCTGTTTGCTGGAGTTTTCTTTTAAGCTGTCACAAATTGAATGATACCTGAGTGGAGAGAGGGAGAGAGAGACTAGTGTGACAATAAACATTGTGGCAATATAGAAGAGGCAGGGATGAGTGTGGCGCTCATGGATTTTTTGAATCCACGTTAAGCCAGTTTCAGTTTCAAACTAGAGTATTCTTTTATTTATTTCTTTATTAGATTTATATACTGCCCATCTAGAACAGGTCTACTCTGGGTGGTTTACATATAATATACAAAATAAACTAAGATAAAATCCAGGTTAATCCAAGATGGGAAAGGAAAAAGAGGAAGAGGAAAAGGAAGAAGAAGAGAAAAGAAAAAGAAGGGGAGGTAGGCGAGGTAATGGCTGTAGGGAAGGACTGCCTGTATAGCCATGTCTTCAAGTTAGTCTTGGTATTCAGCGAGGGAGCCTGGCAGATCTCAGCATGTAAGTTGTTCCAGAGCTGAGGGGCCACTGCTGAGAAGGCCCGATTTCTGGTTTTTTCCCACCAGGCCTTTCTTGGCGTTAGGCCCCTCAGATGCTCAGACTGACTGGAATGGGTGATATGGGTAGAACTGGGCTGAAGAAGGCACTCTGCCAGGTATCGAGGTCCTAAACTGTTAAGGGCTTTATATGTAATGGTTAACACCTTGAAATCAATGTGGAAGTGAATAGGTAGCCAGTGTAAGGCATCCAGAGTGGGGAAAATATGGTGAAATCTTTTCACCCCTGAATAGGCTGGCTGCCGTGTTCTGGACCATCTGAAGCTTCCGCATCAGTCTCAAAGGAAGCCCCATGTAGAGACCATAACAGTAGTCTATTCTTGAGACTACGAGCGCATAGACCAACGTAGTGAGCACCCCTGTGTCTAGATAGGGATGCAACTGGGTGATCTGCCAAAGATGTAAGTGGGCAGACCAAAATATGGACGCTAGCTGGGCCTCCATGGTAAGCGCTGGGTCAAGATGGACCCCCAGACTGTGAACTGAATTCTTTGTGGTGGGAGCCACCCCCCCAAAAGAGAGGGAGTTCCCCAAACTACTGACATCGGGGGGGCACTCACAGGACCTCCATCTTGTCTGGGTTCAACCTTAGTCCATTCAACTGCATCCATTTGCAGAACGGCCTCCAGGCAGCACCCAAGAGATGGAACGGCATCCACTGCAGATGGAAAAAAGGGGATGTAGAGCTGGGTGTCATCAGCTTATTGGAGACACGAAGCTCCACATCCCCGGATGACACCCCTCCCAACTGCCTCATATAGATGTTAAACAACATTGGGGAGAAGATCGAACCCTGTGGAACCTCACAACTGAGGGACCATGGGGGCGATACATTCTCACTCTCTGAGGATGGCCCTCCAAGAAGGACCGGAGCCAAGCAAGAGCAAGGCCAATCCCCAACTCGGAGAGCCTCCCCAGGAGGATACCGTGGTTGATGGTATCAAAGGTGGCTGAGATATCAAGGAGGATGAGCAAGGACATTTTACCCCTATTGGCCTCCCTAAGTAGGTCATCCAGCAGAGTGACTGATGCCATTTCCATGCCGTGGTGCAGCCTGAAGCCTGACTGAAATGGATCCAGGTCATCGGTTTCATCCAAGAGAGCCTGAAGCTGGTCAGCCATCACCCTCTCAACTACCTTGCTGAGAAAAGAAACATTGGCGACGGGCCTATAATCGCCAATGTTGTCCACCGCCAAGCTTGGTTTCTTTCTAATGGGTCTAATGAGCATTTCCTCAAGAAGAGACCCATTTATTATAGGCTTAACATAGGCTTAACATAGTGCTTAAGTGTATTGTTGTTTATATATTGTTATTTATTATAACTGTTGTTTAGTACTTTATGTGAGAAAATAGACACAGCTGTATATTTTCTCAGACTGTGTACTCTGCCATGCTTCTGGTGATGAGTGGAAGGGCAAATGTGGTAAATCTCAAATTATCAAAGGTGAGATCTGGAAAGGAAGGGCACTTCAGCACTATGTTAAGCCTATGAGGATGCAAATCCCCCAGAAAGGCACAAAACACGCTTTGACAGTTATAAACACACTGCATTTTGAGTCTGTTTCAAGGATAGTCTTCCTTCTCAAAAACTGCATGCTTGTTACTATGACGACTTTATTTTTGCTCTGCTCAGGCTGCCTATGCTGAGAAAGCAAGGGAAACTGTGTCCATCCAAAAGATGAGAACTGCAATATGAAAGTTGTGATGTAACTACATTGAGCCTGAATCTATTTCACACAATGAAATCAAAGAAAATATGTTGGCAAGGGTGGAGAAACAGGAACTTTGAAAAAAAAAATCTATATCATGGGGTCTGAATCCAAAGGGGTCACCAAGTGCTTTTTAGGGGATAGAGTTGCCACCATTATTTTGAGTTGCAATTATTTTTATATTTATTATAAAATGCTGTTCTATTTTATTCCTCGTAACCCACCAACAGTTACCGTATTTCTGTACCTCTTTGAGCAGATTTCCTTTTATGTATATGCATCACTCCTATTCCTTCCAAAAGAGCCATTCACACTTGTTCCTCTCTGCTCCTCCACACCCAGCTTTTGAGAACTGGCATCACCCCTTTGGAACAGAGCATTAGCCTGGTTCAGAGAGGCCTGAATGAGGCGAGTGCACGGTACATGCTGGAAGTGCTGATGGCCAAGATAGTGGCAGGATTGAAAAGTTCTTGCTGCCATGGCAGCGACACCTTTCGCTCCACCAGAATCTCCCACTCTTCTGGTTGTACTGATGGTGGTGCAATGAAGGGAGAGAGGATCTGGGCAGAGGCATGCCTCCAGACCCCACCTGAGTCATGGAGGAGGCAGGCAAGAGGGGCAAAAAGATGAGGGAGGAGAATCATGGTGACGCACGAGGGAGCTGTTTATTTCGGCTTGAGGGAGAGGAGCCCTTCACTGAGGTGGCTTTTTTGGGTGGGGGGAAGAAGACTCAAAGGGAGGATTGTTTCTGCACCCAAAAAAGTATATTAAACTCAAAGTGTATTGACCTTTTTTTCCTTCTCAACTTTTATCAGGTAGAGGCAGATTTTGGGAGGGGAAGAAGACCCAAAGGGAAGATTGTTTCTGCACCCAAAAAAAGTAAATTAAACTCAAAGTGTATTGACCTTTTTTTCCTTCTCAACTTTTATCAGGTAGAGGCAGATTTACACACATCATAATTATCTATTATTGCATTAGCATTAATAGGTTAG